ATGAATACAGTCCTATAAAATTACATCAATTAAACTCAAGCGTGTTAGACATTTGTCAATTATTTCAGCCTTGAAAACTTCTTTTTTGATATGAATTATTTTCTTCAACTGATTCACACTTCTGTCATTTCTCTTCATCAACATATTTGATAAATATTTTATTTATACTTTATTTTATTCCAAGCCCACTTCAGTGAAGTGAAAACCATAGAGATTTAACATTTCAATTACTCATTCATTCATCAAATATTTATCTAGCTTTTACTATATACCAGGCTTGGTCATACACCAGAGAATAACAGAGATGGACAAAATGAACTTGAGTTTGAAGAACAGAAAGATTATCTTTAGGCAGAATTTGGAGCAGGATTATTTCTGGCAAAATGATCAGCAAGAACAAAAGACTTAAAGGCAGAAAATCCTGGTCTTGGAGTGGGGATCTATGTCATTCTCAAATGCAATAATGAAGGTGTTTCGTAATGACAGTTCTTGTGGAGTACTTCTTAAGACAAATCACCAACAGACTTACAATTCTGATGTTCAACTGGATGACCATTCATAAATTTCATTTCTATTAGGTAAGATAGGAAAGTGTCTTTACAAATACATCTGTACTCATACAACTCCATCTTGACTTCTGTGCATGATTTACCTTGACCTGTAGCTTCCATGTTGGCTGGTTCTCATCAAACTCATAGTAAAAAAGTTTGTATTGTGGTTTTGATGGATATGTATTTATTTTTTATTTATTATTGAAGTATAGTTGACTTACAATATTTTGCCAGTTTCAGATGTATAACAAAGTGATTCAGTTTTACATGTATATATACTCTTTTGCAGATTCTTTTCCCATATAGGTTATCACAAAATATTGAGTATAGTCCCCTGTGCTATACAGTAGGTCCTGTTTATCTATTTTATATGTAGTAGTGTGAATACATTACTTCTAAACTCCTCATTTATCCCTTTCCCCCATCTTTCCTCTTCAGAAAATTTGTTTTCTATATCTGTGAGATTGTTTCTATTTTGTAAGTAAGCTCACTTGTATAATATTTTTAGATTCCACATATAAGTGATATCATATAACATTTGTCTTTTTGGGTCTTACTTCACTTAGTATGATAACGTCTAGGTCCATCCATGTTGCTACAAATGGCATTATTTCATTCTTTTTTATGGCTGAGTAGTATTCCATTGTGTGNGTTTTTGTCATACATTGAAATGAATTAGCCATGGATTTACATGTATTCCCCATCCCGGTCCCCCCTCCCACCTCCCTCTCCACCCCATCCCTCTGGGTCTTCCCAGTGCACCAGGCCTGAGCACTTGTCTCATGCATCCAACCTGGGCTGGTGATTTGTTTCACCATCATTTTGGTGTATTTTAAAAAGTAGATTGTGGTATAATCACCTTTCATTTGCTTAACGTATTTTCTAAGTATATTTATAAGTTGCCAAATGCATTTCTGTATTATGGCATTGAGGCTGAATTATGTCCACTCTAAGGATATTTCATCAGCATTTTAACCAATTGTCACTATTTTACATATATCTTTGCATAAAACTCTTATGGTTTTATTAGAGTAATTTTCAAGAAATAAGACCATGTTAAGATTTGTAAAACTTATTCTAAATAACCTATATAATTCTTTCATATTTTTCCTTTTCATATTATATATATATAGCATATTACAACACAAAGTTGAAAAGCTTATATTCATTATAGTCATTAATTATTATTTGACATTGCAGTATACTAATAATTACTGTTGCAAAAAAAAAAACTAAATAGAACTCCTCAAAGGCAGAAACTATATATGACTCAATTTTGTGGCCTAAGTATTCAGCCAAAGTCTGAAGAGTGGTAGATCTACTTTTTTGCTTAATGATTGAGCATGAATGAATGAAAGCTTAAATTTGGGAAAATAAGCTGAAATCAGAATTTCTAAATCACTGATTCTATATTTAGCATAAAAACTAATACAAAGGAAAATAATCAGGAGCATTTATTGAAGTGGACATTTATTTGAGATCATTTTTTTCCTAATAGATTTCTTAGTGAGGAATGCCGTCAGTGTTGAAAATTATCTTCTGCTATTTTCTCACAATGAGGACAGAAGAGAAATGGACATGGCACATGACATCATCATGATGCTGAAAAGCTGGCAAGAACAATCTCCAGCTGTTTTTAAGAGTTGTAGCTCATTATCATTCTGAGGAGACACTTCCTAGTTCTCCTCCATTAGCATCACAAAAGTCAAACATGGGGAATACAGCCAATATTTTATAATGACTGCAAATGGGGTATAACATTGAAAAATTGTGAACCGTCATAAAGAAGGCTGAGTGCCGAAGGACTGATGCTTTTGAATTGTGGGGCTGGAGAAGACTTGACAGTTCCTTGGACTGCAAGGAGATCAAACCAGTCAATTCTAAAGGACAGCAAACCTGAATATTCACTGGAAGGACTGATGTGAAACTGAAGCTCCAATACTTTGGCCACCTGCTGTGAAAAGCAGACCCATTGGAAAAGATCCTGATGCTAGGAAAGACTGAAGGTGAAAGGTGAAGGGGACAACAGAGGATGAGATGGTTAGATAGCATCACTGACTCAATGGACATAAGTTTAAGCAAACTCTAGGAGATTGTGGAGGACAGAGGAGTCTGGTGTGCTACAGTCCATGAGGTTGCAAAGAGTCAGACATGACAGCGACCGAACAACAGCAAAAACTTGCATAATATTGTATAGCAACTATACTTCAACTAAAAGACTTCAAATCCACAGTTGGAAGAGGATGCTATTTCTAATATGCCTAAAACCAATTTGGGGAAATTACTCAACAGCAACTATAAATTAGGCAGTTAAGTAGTTTCTTTTTTTTAAATACAACCTGATTTTTACTTCCTTTTACAAAAGTAACATTGAAGACGTTACATCACATAATATATTGCTTCAAATTTCCATCTTCTTTCCTAAGATATTTACACAGAGGGGGTACAGCATCATTTTGATCTCTAAATGGATTTTATAAAAGATAACACATTAGGAAGATAATTTGCTTAGTTACTATTTCTTTTCTCTTTAGGTAATAGTGATGCCAGAGATATTTGTCTTATTACAAAAGTCAGTGTATTTTCATTGGAAAATATAATGAAATAAATAATTGTCATTGACTTTGACTTAGTATATGTTCTTTTGTCTTAGACATTGGAGCACAAGTATGCAGTTTGGTTAAGAATCCTGATGCTAGGAAAGACTGAAGGTGAAAGGTGAAGGGGACAACAGAGGATGAGATGGTTAGATAGCATCACTGACTCAATGGACATAAGTTTAAGCAAACTCTAGGAGATTGTGGAGGACAGAGGAGTCTGGTGTGCTACAGTCCATGAGGTTGCAAAGAGTCAGACATGACAGCGACCGAACAACAGCAAAAACTTGCATAATATTGTATAGCAACTATACTTCAACTAAAAGACTTCAAATCCACAGTTGGAAGAGGATGCTATTTCTAATATGCCTAAAACCAATTTGGGGAAATTACTCAACAGCAACTATAAATTAGGCAGTTAAGTAGTTTCTTTTTTTTAAATACAACCTGATTTTTACTTCCTTTTACAAAAGTAACATTGAAGACGTTACATCACATAATATATTGCTTCAAATTTCCATCTTCTTTCCTAAGATATTTACACAGAGAGGATACAGCATCATTTTGATCTCTAAATGGATTTTATAAAAGATAACACATTAGGAAGATAATTTGCTTAGTTACTATTTCTTTTCTCTTTAGGTAATAGTGATGCCAGAGATATTTGTCTTATTACAAAAGTCAGTGTATTTTCATTGGAAAATATAATGAAATAAATAATTGTCATTGACTTTGACTTAGTATATGTTCTTTTGTCTTAGACATTGGAGCACAAGTATGCAGTTTGGTTAAGAATATTGTGTTCCCCTCGAGGGGGACAGATGGGTAGAGAAGCAGTAATGCTTCTTGCATAGAAGAGACAGCCTGTGTCTAAACAGCGACATGAAAGAAAAAGTAATATTTTTCACCCTCTGAATGCATGAAGTTATGTAAAGAACCGGGCATCAAGTCTACATTCCCAGAACAAGGGTTTGTTCCTGAGTCCATCCAAATATTATTTGCAGGAATTTCTATCTCTCCTATCTTTTTGACTATTTCCATTTCTCTCAGACATTGCAAAGTTCTCAGTCTGTTAAGCACTTGGCAAACCTGTAACGCCTAATGAAAGGTCTCTAGTGATAACTCTACTGCTTATTTACTCAGGAACCTGTCTGAATAAATTGGTTGACTGAAGTATTGCATCTGCTGATTTTTGGAGCTCCTGAACAACACATCAGAAAGTAGGACCTGTAGTGACAATTTTAGATCCAGCAAGAGTTATCACATGACAGTCCTCTGAACAGCCAGAGAAACTATGGTAACACCACATGCCAAGAACTTGAGAACTTTGGAAACCCTCTAAAGGGTTGACCTCAACGGCTCTGTGCAATTTGAGAGAGTAGAAAATGAACCGGCTCAAATCCATGTGGGGGGATAATGCTTGTTACTTTTGTAATACATTCTTGGTTCCATGTTACATTTTTTTCTTTGAAGAAGAAAGGAGTCAATTTGCATCTGGTTGTTTTCTCCTAATAATTGCTGTTCCTGAAAAGTGTGTTAGCAGAAAGTGTTTCTTATTTTCACTAGTTTGGCACAGGGTTAATTTCCACATCACAGGAATTTTCCCCATCTAAACAGCTTGGGAAAAGCAAGCAAGCTTAAAGCAGGGAATGTTAATACTGTATTATACCGTGTTCCACATACGCAGGTATTATATGTAGGATATTATCACTTCAAATGATTCTGTTTCAGTCAAAGATCTGGACACTGATTTACATATGACAAGGGAAAGAGGGATAGCAAAGAAGAGGAGGAATTCTAGATGCATCTGAAGAGTTCATCTATTGCTATGGAAACAGAAACATCCTAGCAACAGCTGCTGTGTACGTAGCTGACATGCAGAGCTTAAACCCTTAAACAAGAGCAAAATGAACCATGAAATCTCTAGTATCTATAGCATTTATGCTTTTACAGGTTTGGAAAGGATAGTGGAAAATTCACAGATAAATATGTCAAAAAAATATAAAGTTACAGAAATCCAACTTTATTCCCTTTCATCATAGAATCCAGAATATTACTTAACACATTGTAATAGATGCTATTATCCTGATTGCAAGACAAAAATGCCATCTCTCAGATAACCAGTACTACTTGGACATCTTTTGGTAAGTTTGGAAGATAATATTCAGCCATACTTTAATATGCAGTCTTTGTTCTTAACAATTCTTAGAATCTTATCAGTGTAAAATATTTTGAAACATCCCTCTGTAAAAGGAGAAAATTCAGAAAATGACTTAGGGTTTTATTAAAGCTTGAAAAACATAATTGTATCTCTCTTATTTTAGTGAACAGAATAGTTTTTTCTGCTTTAAGCTTTCTGGGTAAGTGCCTCAATTATTTGGTTTACCTGTTTAAATAAATTTTTATTTGTATGAAATGAAAATAACCAAATATATTTATCATAATTTCATATCACTTTGTATAAGTGGTGTGTTTGTCTATGTGCATGTGTCTATAGTTAACAGTTTTTAGTAGAGAATATTTTTGTGTAACTTTGAATCATGATGTAAAAGGTAATGAAATTAACATTAATTAAGGGACTTTTAAAGCAGTACTATCGAATTTCTGGATCACAAGTTATATCTAGAGTAGATCAAATCCTTATTCTGAAGGAAATCAATATTCAGGAGGGGAGTGGTGAACACATTTAGTGAATAGCTAACACTTTTTGCTGTATTTTTTCTTTTCCAAAGGAAATATAATACTTCCTCCCTCCTAGATGTTGGACTGTATTTTCAAAGATTCTTATGTCAAATTCTCATCAAGCATAATTATAAAGCAAAGAATCCCCTTAGGATTAATCACTTGCTAAAGTCAACACCTCAAAAAGAGTGGGAGAAAGATACTTTATACATAAACTGTAAGAAAAAGGAAGCTTTGAGATCTTCCCACTAAGACGTTTATGACTTTTAAGATATCTTAATTAAGGGTAAAATAACTAGGAGCATGAGTCATTTTAGGTATCTGGTCATGAGTCGTGAAGGTTTGTAAATGTCTTTGATATGCATTGTGTCATTTAATCAAGGATATTTTCTGTTCTTTGTAGTGTCTGAAACAGGGAACCAGAGAAGGTGTCAAATACTTTTTGCTGTCTGCAAAAATTCTCTTCCACCTGATAGATACCAATGGAGAGAAATCGGAGCTTATTGCAGTGTTTATATTACATATGACTCTAAGGAAAAAAAGAATATCAATCAGTTCACTAAACTAAAGCTTCAGATTAATCCATAACTTTGACCTGCACTGACCCTCAGGGAATGGATGCAGCTGACTCTGTGGCCTGGTAGGCCTCACAGCTCCCAGGCTTGCTCTCATGAGCACTGTGGTTTTGCACAAGCTGACACCTTGGTTGGAAACTTCCTAACAAGAGTGACAGCTCTCTGCCTCCTTGACTTAAATGAGTTGAGGCAAATGGGCTTCTTGAACTTGAAGACCTTCCATGGTGACCAATGACAGAAGCAAATGTTAGCTAAGTTCTCTTAGTTACCACCATTTCCTAACACCACTGCAAATGAACATCTGTTCAAATCATCAAAACATCAAACATCAAAACATCACACTTTATACCTGACTGTACCTTCCAGATATGTCCTCCTCTGGATTTCCTCTTTGCTGGTTTCTGGGGCCATCAATGTTAGAGAATGCCCTGGGGAATCAACCCCATTACTATAGACTTTTTCAGAAACTTATGCTGCTTTACTATCTCACTTATCTCTTGTAATTTCCAGAATCATAATTTTAATATTTAAAATATACTTTCATATTAATCTCAAAGGAACAGACCAGGAGACAGCTATTTGAAACCTAACTTTTACAGAAACCAACTCAGAAAATTACAGTAAATGGGTGAAAATTTTTTTTAATGCAAAAGAACCTAAACTTTTTTTTTAATGTCTTTGCTGGATGATTGGGAAGCAAATATTCTTTTTTTTAAATTTAGTTTTAATTGGAAGATAATTGCTTTACAGTGTTGTTGATTTCTGCTATAGGGCAATGTGAATCAGCTCTAAGTATACATATATCTGCTCCCTGCTGAGTCTCCCTCCCTCGGACCACATCTCACTCTGCTAGGTCATCACACAGCACCAAGCTGAGTTTCCTGTGTTACACAGCAGCTTCCTGCTAGCTCTCTACTTTACACATGGAAGTGTATATATGTCAGTGCAAATCTCTAAATTCCTCTCCCCTCTTCTTCCCTTGCTGTGCCCACAAGTCCGTTCCCTTCATCTGCCTCTCTAGGGAAGCAAATATTCTTTAGCTGCACTGTGAAAATTGCCAGACTGTAGCTCAGAACATGTCTATTTACCATCATGTAGAGGATCATTTGCATGATTCAAAGAACCGTGTTATGTACCTGTCAGTTTTCAGATTCAGTGGGCACTTGTGTCAGAATTGCCTCTTAGCTGTGATTTGCAGCTCCTACTTTGTAATACCCAGGCAACTCATTAGCTCAAGATACACTGGAAGTCTCCAGAACTCTGAAAAACTAGTTCTATTTTATTTTAATGATGTCCCCATCCATTACAGGTCACAAAACCAAATCTCTAGGACTCACTGTAGACATTTTCTTTATTTCTGATCTCATATACAGTGACTAAGTCCTGTCAATTTTACCTCCATTAAAACATGTTTTCTCCTGAAGTCCCCTAACAACCTGCTCTGCTGCTGTCTGCTCTCCCTTCATCACTTGTCACAGGTGCTACCTGCAGTTTCTAAATCCAATTCCAGGGATGCTCTATCCTGCTTAAACATTTTTAAAGGTCCCTTATGCCCCTCAGAGGGCTTCTCTGGTGGCTCAGAGTGTCTGCTTGCAATGCGGGAAACCCGGGTTCGATTCCTAGGTCGGGAAGGTCCCCTAGAGAAGGAAATAGCAACCCACTCCAGTACCCTTGCCAGGAAAATCCCATGGATGGAGAAGCCTGGTAGGCTACCGTCTATGGGGTCGCAAAGAGTCGGACACGACTGAGCGACTTCACTTTCACTATGCCCTCATAATACAGTACATACGATAGAACGTACCTGACTTCTGCCTACCATTCCAACCTCCAACCTTATATTTCCTCTGCTTTTTAAATTCTAAGCATTCTTACAGATGAAGTCTGTTTCCTGAACGGTACTTGCTTACACCTCTACCGATAGTTATTCTAGCTGAGAATCCTCTTCTTAATCTCTAATTTGTTTCATTTGTACTTCCAGTGCACCAGTCATATTGTTCTAACATTTTTTTTTAGGGGAGAATTGTAAACATACATAAAACTGGACAGAAGAGTACAATGAAATTCCATGTAACAATTACTCGTGTTCAACTCTTAATTTGTGGCCAATATTTTTCAGATATACTTTATCCTTCCTTCATTATTTTGAAGCAATTTCATTAGTCATATTGTGTCTTCTATAAATGTTTCAGTATACAATTCTTAAAGATAACTCTTTTCAACCAGGTCACTACTTAATCATCTAGAATAGCTACTAATAATTCTTTGATATTACAAAATATCCAGTAAGAGTTCAGTTTCCAACTTTGCATGTGTTTTCAGTTTTAGAAAATTTCTAATTTTTATATGTTCTGTGGTTTGCTCTTTGGATCTGGACTGAAATAAGATTCAAACAGTGCAAATGTTTTATGTATCAGTTATCTACAGATTGTCTCTCCAACTTTTTTCCTTTTACAACTTATTTGTGGAAGCAATTATACTATTTATCCAGGCAAGTTTCCAACTGTCAGGATTTTGGTGATTATATCAGTGTTCTCCAATGTTCTGAAATCTCTTTTGTCTGTATTGATAGTTGGATCTAGGAACTTAATCCTATTCAAGTTCAAATTTTTTGACAAGACTGCTTCAGAAGTTGTATGATTTTTATTCCATCAGAGCACTTACTGTTTGGTTACCTCTTTTATGATGCAAGGACCTGTTTACAATCTTGATTCATTAATCCATTAGGGGCTGCCAAATGGTGCTATCACAACTTTATCAATGTTTCCTTATTTAATAGATTACTTTGATAAACAGAAGTATCTCTTCATTTACAATTTGGCTATCAGTGAGATACAGCTTATGTACCTTTATGACAGTTTCAATTATTTACCATTTTTCAAAAAATAATTGAGCTTCCCTGAAGGCTCAGTGATTAAAGAATCCCCCTGCAGTGCAGGAGACACAGGTTTGATCCCTGAGTCAGGAAGATCCCCTGGAGAAGGAAATGGCAACCCACTCCAGCACTCTTGCTTGAAAAATATATGAACTCAGGAGTCAGTTGGGCTACAGCCATGGGGTGGCAAAGATTCAGACATGACTGAGCGACTAAACACAACGCAATAATTGACCAACAATTTAAAAACCTTTTTGTTTGGAATCTTTATGAACTAATGACTGGACACATAGTTCATGCTTTTCAATCTACTTTCGTTATTTTTCTTATTGATGTTCACATTGGTCAATGGGCATTTCCTCAAGTTGGGTTATGAGCTCTTTTGATTAACATACAAGTCTTTTCTCTTCTTTGTATCTGGTATAACAAAATGTTTCAGGCTCAGCTTCATTCATTTCCTGCCTAGAGCTGCTTAATGAGCTATTTTATTTCTCCAAATAAAAGATAAGGAATATCATTTGCCATATTTACACTCCCAAATCAAATTTATGACCACAGAGATTGTACTTAGCTTCTTCCATCTTCTCTCTGTATCTTATTACTCCCTCACTGACAATCCTGTTTCTAAAGGATATGACTGTGTTAGAATAACTTCTATTTATTTATCTCATAAGATAGATGCAATTGTATTAGAATTATGATATAAACACTGCTACAAACAATGTGATTTCTTGAAATAGCTTATTTTCCTAGTTCTTTTATTTTTGTCCTTAGGATACATGGATTGATGGTAAATTCCTAATATATTTTATTTTTTTTCCAATTATTTTTACTAGTTGGAGGCTAATTACTTTACAATATTGTAGTGGTTTTTGCCATACATTGACATGAATCAGCCATGGATTTACATGTGTTCCCCATCCTCTTGGTTCAGTTTCTTTCTGTGTGAATATATCACCACCAACTGCACATATAGTTAGGGTTTATTTATTTCATTTTCTTAAGTTTCCTTAAG